TAAGACCCGCCTGGCAGTGTAGATAAAAGCAATCTGATTCAAGGTTGCTGAACAATTAATGGGTTTTGAGAATTTCTCTTTCATTAAGTGACTTACAATTTCTGCAAGAACGCGGAGCTGTTTCATTGATCCCGTTTCCTTCCCCTCTGATATCTCAGGCATTTGTTGATGGTCTCTTTTTGTCTCTTAATTCATTTCCTGCTCAAAATGTAATGTGCAGTATTTTGTACTGTCCTCGCAAACTGAGGCTTGGATGTTTCAAAAAAAATCTTCAGCTCATTTGCTTTCACCCCTTCAGAATAACATCATCTTCCCATTTACTACTTCCCATTTCCCATTTAATTAAATCCGCTCCAAAAATGCAGCACGTCCCCAGCACCGCCCTGCAGTGTCGGCCTACACAGAATATTTTTTAAAATGGTAAATCTGGGTAGGTAAGATTAAACATTAAAGTTTATAAAAACACAGGCCTGGAAATGAAAAGCAGCCAGTGTTTCACCCACAAACTATACAGTCAATTCACTTTACAGTATATCCTGTGAAGCGCATTGAGACGTCTCAATGATATGGTAAGGCCCTATATCAAATGTAAGGATTATTATTATTATTATGCTAGTGATCCAGATTTTATTTAGGCCTGTAGTCGCAATATTTTAGTTTTAATATTATAGATGATGTATGTGATGATGTTCGAATAGTTTTTCTATGGTTCTGTGCTGTGGGATTACATCTACGAAAGAGAGGCATCATTGCTTTTGATATCAAGACAACTCTGGAGTGCACTCTATTGAATCCCGCTGTTCACACAAGGCAGTTTTCTGAATAAATTTGTCAGCTCAAAATCGTTGATATAATGGAATGGATGTTTCCAATCACCATTAGTCACAACGGCAATGTTTAACGATTTTATAATCCAACACTAATTAATGAATTCTTACAAGAGACACTTTGTACTCTGAAGTCAATCGGTGATGAAGAAGCCAGTGGCATGGAATCTACAGCACTGCAGTGTTAAACTGGGTTTGCCCCTCGTCAGTGAACAGGAGAGGCCAGTAAATTATTCAGTATGATTACATAAGTTCAGAACCATAACTGAACAAAAAAGTAATGACTTACTGAAAATAACCCTTAGGTGAATCAATCGCACATTGTTCTATGAAGCTTGGGACATGTGTCAGCCTTGCTCGGTTGCTAGCACTTTCACTGCAGACATAATAGGTTGGAGCGAGGCAATAGGGTGCTCAAGTCCTGGAGTGAACTTGGCACTCAAAGACTAGCATGTCACCCTAATACAGTATTAATTATATTAATACTTGCAGTTGATATAGACTTTATCATGGTGTTGAGACGTCACAAAGCGCTCGACAGAATACATTGTAAGGTGGATTGATTTGTGTATTTTGTGGGCGAAAGGCGGCAGCCAATTGCACTGTCTGGAAACAGTGCCGGGTGAGTGCTCTATTGTTAAAGTTGCCATTCTTCAGATGAGACATTAAAACAAGGTCCTTTCTGTCTGTCAAGGTGGTCATTAAAGATCCCGCGACTCTATTTTAAAAGAAAAAAAAGTTCCCCAGTGTTTGACTCAACAATCCACACGTTAAGAAATAAAATGACCATTGACTTCATGGCATCTGCACAAAATTGGCTGCTGCCTTCACCTACAAATGCACAGTCACTACACCTTACAGAAGACAAGGCAAGTCTGTTGGGATCTAACAAGGTGTAATATCAAATTTGGAGTTTCTTTTAAATTTAAAAAAAATGCTACAAGTCAAAGTAATCATTCCAAATGAAGCAAATCCTCTATTTTCAAAGCAATGGCAAAATAAAGTTGAAAGCTTATTTCCAGGAAGGGAGTCATCAGGGAATGGTTAAACGAAGGTTAACAGTAACATACAAAGACTCCTCAATAATCTCTTGATACTTGCCAGGTGTATGGATTTGCAAGACTATGATGAGTACATAATGATCTCAGAGCTAACAAGCAGGAAGTGACTCTTTTGGCCCTCGGTGGGTTTGCCGATTAGAAACTTCAGAACCTCACTCAAAGTAGCCACTTCCCAGCGTGAGACAGTGGAGAGAAAGGAAGAGAAAGTGTGGGATGGTGGTGGGTGGGAGAAAGGGGAATCTGTGAAAGGAATTGTGGTAACTTTTGCAGGTAATAATAATAATCCTTGCATTTGGTATAGCACCTTTCACAAAGGGAGGACAATCCTGAAGTGCTTCACAGGATTTTCTGTGACCCAAATACACCTCGGTCAAATCCACCCAGAAGTCGTCTCAGACCCTGATCTCAAAATCAGGGGCCTCCTGACTGCATTCCGATTTCATGATAGCTGGAGGCGAGACGTTTCAGAAGGATGTCCCTTTTGGAGGGTGGTGATTTGGGGGGAGGTACAATATCTTACAGATTAGTGGATTGGCAATCAGAAAAAGGGCATCATCAGGCAAACAACCAAAGTCCCCTTTGGCACATGGGCGAGCTCCAAAATTTAGCATTTTCATTTTTAGAGACGCATTCAAATTCATTCTTAAAATTCACGCCACCGTCAGTGCAGATTCAGAGGCTGGGAATCCCCCGAGGTCAAACCTTGTAATTAAATAGCCCTCAAATTAAAGCAAGAATTGGGTGCCGGCCGGAGGGGGGTAAATGTTCTTATTCAATTTCACACTCGATTTGGAAGCTGGAGCTATGCTCTGTGTTCAATGGCCTCAAATTAAAGCAAATTGAAATTTCCAAATATTTTGCGTGATCTTCAACTTTAAGGCAATGGCCCCAAGACTAACACTGATGAGAAATGTGGGGCTTCTATTTCTAACTCTTCCCACCCCTTCCCGTACCTAAGTTGTTTGTGGCAGAATTTAAGGCAAGCTGGTCTCAGCAATCCCTCGATTTCAATCTACCTTGCAAGTTGCTTTGGAGGCAACTTCACCTTGCCAAGGAGTATGGACCATTCGAAGTAAACGTTCAGTGAATAAACACATTAAACCCACACCAGAAGAATGATCACAACTCACTCTGCACGATAACTAACCCACACAGCACTCTATTAACTCCCAAAGGCAAACATGATCAACGTTAGTCAACCTTTTGCAGGATTAATTTTTAATACTCAGCATTATGTGGTCACGTGATTTATAATATTCATCTCACTAATGGTCTCGACTAATGGGTTTGTGAGTTTATCACTCCTGCTTTTCTGATGGGCTCCTTTGCAAGCGTTGCATAGAATCGGAGAATGATACATCAAAAATGCAGGCCGTTCTTTCAAACAAGTGCTAGTGTTTATACTCCACACAAGTCTCTCATTCCCCTATACCACTCTATTCCCTTCTGCCTCAACTATGCATCAAATTTCCTCTTAAACAAATTGAATGGCTTTTGCTTCAACCACTGTTGAATATCCAATATGATCTCCATTTGCAATGGATCTGCTCTACATACTTTATAGAACATGGTGATGGTGAAAAACAGACAATAAATGTATTGCACTACAACGTACAGTCACCGGTAATAAACCACTCACCTCGGCTTTGCAACATCAATTTGCATTTATAATGCATCTTCCACGTTGGTCTCAAAGCACTCAACAAATATTGAGCTTGACAGACTGCAGAGAATGTTACAGTGGGGAAACAGGCCATTCGCCCAACCATATAATTGGCTGCCGCGTTTCGCCCACAGAATATACAGCCAATTCACTTTACAGTATATTCTGTGAAGCGCTTTGAGATGTCTTGAAGACGTGATAAGGCGCTATGTCAAATGTAAGGATTATTATTTTTATAACTAGTCTGTGCTGGTGCTTATACTCCACATGAGCCCCCAGTCCTCCCTCTTTATGTATGTTTGGGGTGGGGGGGGGGGGGGGTTTGAAGGGAGGAAAAGGTAGCAAGGTGTAGTAGATCGAGAAGATCTTCCAGAGGAAGGTGGACTTTGGTTGCGACTTCCACAGTCCATTGACTTTACTGTACCTTGGGTCCAACACGCCCAAAGTCAAATATTCAGGACCATCCAAAGGAAGTCTCAAGTTTTTAAGTCCAAGTTTTAAGGGAAGAGAGAAGTGCTGATCAAAGGGGGCAGAAAAACAAACGTCAACTCATGCAAGTTTTGAGGAACCTTCTAACTATTGGGTTACAAACTCTTATCTCGCTTCAGGGAATGGTGCAAGGAAAGAGAAAATGAGGAGGAGGGGAAAAAAAACAGGAATATGCAATGGAATCTGTCAACACTAAATGTGCAAAAACTATTTTCTGACTATGGATGGCTAAAATCAGAACTGTAAAAGAAATTACAATAGAAGGGTAAAAAATACACTCATTGAAGGTGTTTGTAGCTCAGGAACCGGATGTGGGGAGGGGAAGAAAGGAGGCTCATGCAATAAGAACTTGAGTGGCGTCTCTTCCCCTCCTCCAACCGCAGCATGTTACTTACAAAACCAAACACTCTCAAATCCTGTCTGAACATCAAACACTGATCAGGCAAATTAACATTTAAAGCCTGATTTTGCATTGCTCCTATGGATAGGATCAGTCAGCATTTTGACTGCTATCTCTTGGGAGCTTAATATTTGCAGTTCTAGTTTATTTGCACACAAAAAAAATTACATTTAATCTTCATTGCCATCAATAGCTATAACAAGCCACTTCAAACCTCACACCCTCCATCCTCCTTACAAGGAAAGACGCAAATTGCAGCAGCGTCCTTTAAGAATACATAGCCCTCTTTTACCAACATATGGGTTATGTAACAATTTATTCAATTGAGCAGGAATACCAACAACCAGATAATAAAGTCTTGTTATTAAACTGTCAGGGCACTGTGCGGTATTCAAACGCAGCTGCATGTCTTATACATAAGAGGATGCGAGCATCACATTCTAATAGCAATGCTGCACCATCTAACCACTGTGCAACCAGTTGTACTTCGGTTACTCTGCCTGCATCCTCTGTATAAACAGAGGTGTTGGTTCACAATCGCAAATGTGGTTCTGCAGTACCTTTGTCCATGGTCACTGCCAACAGATCCCATCCTCCGAGCTGACAAGACAGAATTATTTGCAGTTGGATTCTTGGTTTTCCGTGGGATTGCTTTCGCCACAGATTCTGGCTCAGAAGAGGAAGGCTTCAGCTTGGTTCCTGCCATGATTCAGGCTGCAAGCACTTGCTTCAGTCTCATTTGCTTGATGAAATGTGTGCAAACAAACACACACTTGCTCTCTGTCTCTCACACACATACACACACAGAGCAGTCAATGCACTGAACACAACACTGCAGGCAGCTACCATCTGTTCTTTAATTTGGGGCATCTTTTTCTCCCTGTACTCAAAAATGGAACGGTCCGGTCCAGATATTTTCTCTTCTTTGTGATGACAAGATTTTCGTTTTTTTCCCCCCCAAAAAATAACACTGGTTTCTGGAGGGTGTTTCCAGCTCATTTCGATAAGAGCTAGTTTCCACGGCAGATGGTTAAGAAAAGGTGAAATTGCCCACAGAAAGCACAAGAAACACTATATAAAACAGCATTTCTTTCCATTGCAGAGTTTCCCTAGCCAACCAAGTGCTATTTTTTCCCCACCCCAAATAAACACTTAATTATTTGACTACTTAGAAATAACTCAATCAACCAGTTTCTACGTTATTCAGCTTGTAGAATACTCCTAAATAGGGAGAAGCATCTGAAGGTTGATTTTGGATGAAATTCACACGGCCAGATCATCAGTCCAAACCCAATCCTTAGACTTTCAGAAGTTCGACTCTCCAAAGTGTTCAGCAGATCCAGGAGTCTCTGAACAGCAAATCGGTGATAGGAACAGGAGTAGGCCATTCAGCCCCTCGAGTCAGTTCCACCATTCTATTGGATCATGACTGAACGATACCTCAACTCCAATCACCCGCTTTTGCCCCATGTCCCTCAATACCCTTACTTAAAAATCTATCCATGTCGGACTTGAAAATGTGAATGAATCCAGCATCCACAGCCTTTGGGGGGAGAGAGGTCCAGATTTCAAGCAAGCTGCCACATGTCCAATGATCTTCTCCACCGTGTGTGCGAAGGAGAAAGTAAATCACAAATAAACCCCAAGAACTTTGATTCACTTCTTTAAAACTACCAGTAGTTTTGTAAGCTGCAGGGTTATCCCTGAAGAATAGTGGGCAGGGGCGAGGAAGGCAACTTTTTTTTTTACCCCCGTGCCTACAAAATAGTCTCTACACTTTACAGTAAATTCTATGATGCATCCTTCCTGAGGCGACACATCCAACGCATGGATTAGTATAGTATGTAAGCGAAGAGTTGATCCTGAACAGAGAGGCTCATCTGTATGTCAGCTCAGCTCAGTTGGTATCAGGTCCAACACCACCACTGTGCAATGCTATTCTGTGGGATGGGTGCTTTATAAATGTAAGTTGCTTTCGTCTCCAGGTGAGAAATTTGCACGTACAAGCCACACCTCAAGCAAGGGCTTGACTTGAGTTTACGATCCTAGGTAGACACCCATGTGCAATAAGCTCTACCCCACGTGAAGGGCGCTATATAAAGGCAAGTTGCTGTTGTGTTGTGCTGGGGGATTGGTGCATCACTGAGGTTCTGCATTTCGTTGAGACTTCAAGCCGAGCTCCCGTCTGCCTGACACTTCAAAAAGGAGGCAATTTTTCTCTAGTTCCTGGGCTAACGGTTCTCCAAGATACAGTAATGGGTTGTTCACTTCATAGCAATACGTTGGATCTAGTGGATGCAAATTACTTGCCATGTTTGCCTACAAAAAGTCATTACATTTAGCAATACAGAAATGATCTCGAGCATGAATACATTTTGATGCAACACAGTACTATAAAAATGCATTCCACGTTAGTAGAACAGGAACATACTACACAAAATTACTGTGCAGCACAACAAACCTCAACAGCTTGAGTGCAATATGTGCCTGTTCAGTGATTTCAGGATACAGAGGAAGCTTCAAATGATCGTGCCATCATTAACGAAGGTTATAAGAGTCGGGGGGAACAGGAAGATTTTACTGCACAATCGATTATGTAGAGGCAGTTTTAATATATGTAATGTCAGGGTGGCACAGAGAGCAGGAACAGACCAATCTGTAACTATATCTGCTGGTACATCTACTTGGCCCTATTGTACTCCTCAGTGGGGCTCATTTGCCCCTCTCACTCCAGAGTTTGATGGTGGGACTGGCCTATATTGCTGATTAAAGATGTTGGTGATCGACAACAGCAGTGAGAGGAGTCATCCCACTCTCAGCTCCTGTTAACCCTGCAAGCCACAGCCCTCACGGGTTGGGTGGGCCTAGCTGAAGAAGCAGCAGGAAAGCTTGCCAGACAACAGACAGGGTGCAGATTCCCCACATGGTGTCATCTTGATCTTTTTTCGTAACATTGGAACCAGTGATCACCTTTAATCAGCAATATAGGCCAGTCCCCACCATCAAATTCTAGAGTGAGAGGAGCAAATGAGCCCTGCTGAGGAGTGCGATAGGACCAAGTAGATGTACCAAGGAGATGTAGTTACAGATTGGTGCTTTCAATGGCAAGCTTTGCGGTTTTAGCTGGTTAGACTCCAGCAGTGCCCCAAATTACACTCTGGGGTCTCCAGGCCTTGGCTCTTGCCAGCCTTCACCAATACTCTCCGGAATTAGATAAGCAGGATCCTCCAGGGAAAGAGCATTCCAAACCTTGGAATTTCCATACGTAGGTGGTATGCATGGAACATGGTTTGGTTAGTTTGAAGCATGGTGATGGGTTTCGGCATGTGTCAGGCACCCGGCTGGCCCTAAAAAAGCTTGTGGAGAGAGGCACATGGGTCGGAGTTAATGGTGAGAGTTGGGACAAGTCAGAATGGTCGATAGACGATGTGTAAGCAGATCCAGAATAAAATGCAGAGGCTAGACTAAAGCAGAAAGGAAGACACAAGAGATTACAAATAGCCTTGGTACATGGAGGATCATAACACCACAACCTAAAGCATTGATAAATGTGGCCAATAATTCCCTCATTTAATTTCATCTCATCAACTCAGTTCTTACTTTATTATTCAGTGAATTAATAAATTATTTAACAAAATTGGTCATTTGAAATAAAAAACAAGTTAAGATACATATATACACACACACTTTCTTTTAAAAAAAATCTAGATTAGAATAAATGAATATAATCGCTCATTCATTTAATTGAGGGAGCCCATTCAATAATTAAACCCAGTCAGTATTGACTTTGTGATACATTAAAAGACAATAATTTGTTCTGCCACCTCTCCTGAAGCCCTGAGGTGGTACTGGTGTATAGATTCATGCGACCAGTCAGGGACCACTTTCCCTTAAGCAGGCGTTATTCAAAAGGAACCTCAACCCCAAGGGGCCTCGTAGCTCAGTCTGATCCAACCCTCATCCACGCACCTCAAGCAAGACGTAGCTGGAGAGCAATACAAATTGGTTGAATTTCTCCTCCTAAACCTCTGCCACCAAGTCTGGTTATAGAGTTCTGACTGTTATCAAGCTAACTCTACAAGGAGCAGGGCTGTTTCAAAGCCAGCACAGACACGATGGGACAAAAATCACCTTCTGTGCTGTAAATTTCTAATGACCGAGCCTGGTATGTGCCCAATCTGAATACAATATTACATTTGTAAAGCGCCTTTCATGTCGGGAGGACGTTCCAAGGCGCTGGACAGTCAAGGCGGGGGAAGGGGGTGTTAGAATCAGCAAACTTGGAGGGCAGCGAAGGAAGGAGGGTGGATGAAGGCATGGTCGAAGAGGAGGGTCTTGATACGTTCCTTGAGGGAGGCAAGCGAGGGACCAAGGCTATTATACCCGCAAGACAAACTTGCTACACCATTGGGTAGGGTGCATAATTCTTTGTTAAAAACTTTCCAGTCAGTCATATAAGAAAGAAGTATTGTACAACAGCCTGTAACGCATACAAATCTACAGCTCTTGTAACAATTCAAGACAGGACAGTTGGTGGTGTACAGCCCTTTTACAGCGGCCACATACATTACAGGATACTTAAAACAAGTTCCCGTCAGAAAAAGTGTTGCTCAAATAGAAATTGCATTTCAGGACTAGAAATACACTATGAAACCACTGCAATGTGGATTGGAAAGAGTGTTTGGACTCCTCCGCCCCTTTTAAATCTTGCAATGCATTTCCGCTACGATATATATAAAAAAACATTTGAGATTCAACTGCTGCTCCTTGCTGTGACCAAGATCACAGGTCACAGAAATTACACCATAAAAGGATGTCCTGTGGCCTATTGAATCTTCGCTGGTGAAGCATAACTAACTGAATAATCTCCTTTCCTGTAGCTTTTTCTGCTGACCCTCTTTGAATATTTATCAAATAGAGGTTTGGATCAAGAAGGAACTTTGGCCTATCCTTTCAGAACACTAACCCCAACGTCAGAGAGGGGTGGGGGGACCAACTTGGATTACATTTACTTAATTCATGTAGTATTTCAGGGCATCTCCAATTAGGCAAATTCTTAAGTGTTGCTTTAATACCGAAGCCAATTTTCTGCAAGTGATTTTGAGAGATTAAAGAAAACAGCCGTCGTTGTTTTTCACATTGTGAAAGACAGAAAGGCTGAATTCAACAATTTGTCAAATTGCTGATGGTCTAAAATGCTGGATAGAGAGTCAATTGTGGTGGAATTTCTCCCCACTTTTTGGGGTAGGCGAATATGCCTAAAATTATCCAACCACCACAGAGTTCCACATATGTATACCACCTACAGAGAAAATCTGAAATTAACCAGATGAATTGTATGGGTATTTTCTGTTGCTACTGATTTCTATGTTCCTTTAATTCAAAGTTGTGTTCTTCAATCCAAACAGTGGACAATTAAGAATCAACTTTAGAATTTCATACAAAAAAAATAACTGGAAGTACAAATCTTTCCTGCAGTCCTAATGTATTATTCTTAATGGACATAATTTGATAAAGGATTCTATTTTGACCAAATGTTTATTGCTGGCTTTTAAAAGCAGAGACGATAAATGAGGAGAGAAACAGGAAAAAGTAAAAACATTAAAATGATGCAATTTAAATCTTTTACATTTTACTAGATATAATTGGACATTCTTCCGCTTTGGGTATTTAACCTTCAATTTAGAAGTTACAGCAGTGTCCCAT